CGGAATAGAACGCACGCCCGGTCATTAAATTAAATTAAATTATATAGCTGTATATTACTGGATTAAATTACTTAGCGATGAACCTGGACGGAATAAAACGCACGCCCGGTCATTAAATTATATTATATTATATTATATTATATGGCTGTATATTACTGTACTAAATTACTTAGCGATGAACCTGGACGGAATAGAACGCCCGGTCATTAAATTACTGCATTCGGGCGACTTTCACTCTCGATACAGCGATCGCGACTACCTTCTTGACCCAAATACAACGTACGGTCATTATTGCTGTATTTAGACGGAAAAATACGCCAAATACAGCAGCTATAATGACCGTACGTTGTATTCGGGTCAAGAAGGTAGGCCGTTTTTTATTCGGGGGGTGATGACGGTGGTTGGCCGCGGAATTATCCCCATACGTCATCAATCGCGATCGCGATCCCGATCGAGATTGCGATCGATTGATGACGTGGCGCAGTTTTTTTGTTTTTTTTTTTTGCCGGTGGTGCAATTCTGACGACGGTGCGCCACGTCATCAATCAATCGCGACGCACGTCATCAATCACGATTTGATCGCGATCGCGATTGATGACGTGGCGCAATTTTAATAATTCGGAGTGAGATTCCGATTAACAGGTGCGCCACGTCACCAATCGCGATCGCAATCAATTCACGATGTCGTTGTACGACCAGGGACTTTTTCTTTTATTTTTTTATTTTAATTTTATTAATTTTAATTAATGCAATAGGAATTTGGACCATTTCCATTCTTCAGGACATCCGTTAAAAAAAATTGAGAACGATACAGAGACGCTTAATTAGAACGACCAGTAATCTCAATCACGGGGTACCGCTCGTATTTTTCTTCTTCTTTCCGCCGGCGGGGGGGAACGCGGGGGGGGGGGGGGGGGGGGGGGGGGAGGGGAGGAGAGAGCGCGCCTCCTCTGATTAGCGGAGTGGCGCCCGGCGCGGGCACGTCAAACACGTTCACGCCCGCCTGCACGCATTTTTTTTCCCACAATTGAAATTAGAAAAAAAGGAGAAAAAAAAGTGCACTTCCGCTAGTGCATAACCTTGACTTGATCGACAACTAAAAAAAAAAAAAAAAAGGCAACGTCGACACGAACGACTCGTGGGATTTTGAGTAAAAAGAGAGAGAGAGAGAGAGAGAGAGAGAAAGAGGGCGAGATTCAAAAGCGCGTAGCGGAGAGAGAACGACGAACTGCCACTTGTACTTCCTTAAGAGCGCAAGATGCAATTCCGGAAAGCGAGGCTCAGTGGTTTTTGCCCTTCCACATGAGGAAACAAACTCAGAAAAATAATAATAATAATAATGCACACACATACACACACATTGATATACACCCTGCGCGCCAAATCTTGAATTTGTAAAATAAAAATGAGAAAATACAATGCACACACACACACACATACACACACGTTGATACAAATGGATAAGATTAGACCGGCAGCGCAGAAGACATGAAAGGACATGTGGCGGGGAGAGAAAGACCGACACACAGTGACCGAGAGAGAGAGAGAGAGAAAAGGAGAGAAGACGT